AATTTAAGGAAAATTAAAAAAACATCAGACAAACAATTATTGTTTATCTACTAGTATTCCGAAAAGTTTTAAATTTTCTTCAATCTTTTTTTCTTGAATACATTAAAAATGAATATAATCGAAAAAGTGAGTTCTTTATTCAAGAATTGATTTTGTTGTTCATTGACGGTTTTAAACAGAACGGCCGAGTCGTGGTGCTGCTCGTCTTCCATTAAGAGAAGAATCTAATTCAAGAGGATAATCATATGTTGCATCATCATCACCAATGTAATATCGACCAGCATGATTTAAATGTGAAAGAATATTAGCTGAAGTATGTCGACCAAGACGTGGTGATGCACGACCAAGACGAGGTGAAGCACGACCAAGACGTGGTGCTGCTCGTTCAACAAGATCATCAGTAAATACGATAGCTGGATAAATACTATCGAGCATTTGATGTTCAGTTAATTGTTCAATATCAGTTGGTTTTGAATTAATACAAGAGCAACAAACTAATAGAAAAAGATATTTCTCAAAAAAATCAAAATCAATTATATTCATATATATATATACCAAAGAGAATAGTTGCAAGAACTAAAATCCAGTTTAATTTTACAATATTTGAAGATATTTTTTGACTAATACCTAGAAGAAAAAAAAAAACTTTTTCATATTATATACTAGAAAAAAAAAAGAACAATTTTATCTATTACCTGTTGATAGTTTCATGCTGATAAATAGAAGGAAAATACAATTGTGTCTGAAGTTAGTGATGAAATGCAAACAGTTCCTTTCTTTTTCTTTCGATCTTATATTTATTCTACGCTCGATATTCTCGATGTCGTAGGTGTAGATTTCCTTTGACGTTTATTTCAATTGCTTTTTTGATTGCTTATTGATGTCGTCTATGATAGTTTATTTAAGACAATACTTATCAATGTATTTTATATGCTGATTAAATTTTCTTTTTATATTTGCTCGTCATTGTGTCTATAGTTATCTACAATAGATTCATCAAATCAATATAGAGACAAGATATTTTTTTTTATTAATAACATCAATTCTTGGCTTTTATAAGTATACTACTTCGTTCTTTTATTTATTTTCATTGCGAAGAAACTTGTGACGTGCATATTGATTGTGATATCCGGTCATCATTGTTATTTTATTTTTCATGAAACAGTAGAGAAAAAAAAGAGATAGTTAATATAAAATAGAAGATAGATTGATGATATTGAAAAACTTTTTTTTTTAATAAGAAACAACTAAAGAATAGATGTCATCATTTTAATAAAAATTATACATAATTTACATATTATTGTAGATAAGTCGTCAAATTTTTACTTAGAAGAATATTAACAAATGTCTTGGAAACTTTATTTCAAGAATAATATTAATACAAATAATAGATAGAATTGAATATATAATATTCTATGTATAAAATTGACGTTATTGATTCGAATAAAAGAAATATTTTTATAACCAAGTGTGAAAGTATTCGTAATTATTTATAGGTCAAAAAAATACCTAAACTATTGTTATCAACTATTTAGAATAATTGATATGACAAATTAATTAACTATTTTGGACTTCACCTTCGTTGAATAAAACTGGATTCACATATGCAATGCGAAGTACTGTACACTAATCGTTCGTGATTTTTTTGTCCTTTTCTTGACACATGACTAGAAATTACTATTTTGTGTGGCACAACTTTCGTTCAAACATTATTACAAAGTTTCATGTTCCTCTTTGATTAATATTTTCTTTTTTGAACCTTTGATATGAAGTTTCCTTCGCTCTTCCTTTGCTCCACAAAATGACGATTTTGAAAAGAGAACTCTTTGTTTTGTTAGATAATCATAATGAGGATGATGGCCAGGAGATAAACACTAGATAGCATTCGAGTTTCACTCAATTGGGAAATGCTGCACGAAACTACCAACGTCGATATTCGAAATGACTGATATCTCTTCAAGTACGAATCACTATTTTTATTATTCATCATGAAACGCTTTTTTCTTTCGCTATAAGTCGTATAAATTATATCATGTTACGATCGATTAGTTGATCAAAATTTGAAAGAAACTAAAGGAAGCTATTGAGAAATCTATTACCAAGAAAACTCTATCAACGAGTATCAACTTGGTTATAATGAAAACTATTGATTGATCGGCTAGTTCTCTCTCAAAATCATTATCTATTATTAATTGTATTCGTAGCCTTATTACCTACAAGACTGAGTTGCAACTAGTCCTCCTAATCAAAAATCTCGCTACTATTGCTAGTGGAGATTATCTTTTCTTACTGTCTTTCTTTTAATTATCTTGAAGCTTGAAAGAAAGCTTTATTTCACAAAAACTCATCTTTTTGAGTCTCTATTGATGAGCGAACCGAAAGTCTTTAGAAGAATGGAAAAGTATTATCGATTCAATCTCGATATTTTCACTTCACTTTTGAACGATTATTTTGTGAGTTTACATTCTTGAAATCATCGTGACAACTTTTGATGTGGATGTCGAAAAAATCAAAATAAATGAGTCCTATCTACAAATTCTCGATATTATCAAAAACATAACAGGATGTGCAGTCATATTATTATAGAGACGCTTGTTTGTCTCGTTCATTTCCATACTTATGTGACATGTATTATCTGAAACTAGATCAATCAAATCTTGAAAGATTTTGTCGTCAAGTACATTGCAAAGCGTCTGTATTTTGCTTGCAGTAGGTTTTTTGCGCATTACCTATATAACAGATCTATTTGGTTCAATATTATTTACAGAAGTATTTCGATAAAGTCTTGTATGATATTTAGACGATGTGTAATCTCGAGACACGTCACTGCAAAACGATAAGTTTAAAAATGAAAGATCAAATTTCTCAAGTTGGGTGAGAAATCGAACTAAATGAGATACTAGAGGCATTAAAAACTTGGCAATTCTCTGTTGTTGAGATTGAAATACTTCAACGAATAGTATTGAATTTATTCTTCAGATTGATCAAAAATGCTCAAATAAACCTGTTATCCAAATCATTGATAAAGAAAGAGCTATGATATTTTCAATTCTTGTTTTCTTCTTGCACAACCGTAACAAACGGTATTACTTGTAGTTATCAATAGAATTTACGTAATTAACAAAACAAAAGATACCAGCATATGCTCATTGACGGATTATGCTTATTGCTAGCACTAACTAATTATTGCAAAGGTCATCATCTAGTCTCGCTTTACTATATTGACAAATTGACAACAAAATCTATAAATTATTTATAATATCTAGATTTTACTTTGGACAAACGATACATCATACCGAAAATCAGACAAAATTTGTATAATATACAAATAACAGCGTCTCTAATGACGTTTCAACGATTATCAAGCGATATGCCATTCTCCAGACTAATATGTCACAAAATACGAAATTTTTAATATGAAATTTGAGAAAGAGAAAATTCTCGATAAATCTCTATAAGCTACTTGGTACCTTAAAATACTCGCAAATGACACGTCAAATGCTGTGCTTCCCACCGAGTGTAGATATGAGTCTTTAGCTCACCCACACGTACACCAGTAGCAAATTCAGAGAGAGGTAATGAGATGATCCCGCTTCGCTTCCGCAATATTTCTTTATTTTTCTTAGAAGAAAATGCCAAAAAAGAGCCAGTACCACCTCTAATAGACTTTAGAACACGTTCTGTGACCATGATTAGCCATGTTCCGAAACTCTTAGATTTGCCACTAACCCATACTCATATTTCTGCATCATGATGTTATACTTTTGAAAATCAAAAAATGACTTACTCAAAAAAGTAACTTTGCTATTACTGAATTTATCGCTTTATTTGTACAGAAGACATGTTTACCTATCAATGGTATATAATATTTATGTTTTTTGCATGATATGATTAAATACTAAAAAGATTAATCAAGTCTCGTTAATGAAGGCACTGTCTAGAATTTGTGAATAAAAATGATGAATAATAATGATAAGAACTCGAATAATATGTTGCTGTTAACGATATTTACCAAGAGTTCTAATTGAATATTGATCCTTTTCTTCCTCTTATATTGATATTTATGAATAGTTTCAGGCGAAATGGGGCATGCCTACCTTTCATTTGACTTTAACTCTTTACAAGGATTACTTTACTGAATAAGTTCTTTTGGCATCGACGTACGTAAAAATATTAGTTCTATCAGCTAACAGTTGATTATAATTAATTGATGAGAAACGAATTGGCGAATGTGTTGTCAACAATATGAGAAAAAAATTCAAGGACTTCAGGATAGATTTTGAGGCCGAGCCTATATCTAGAATTAAATTTTCAGCAAGATCGAAGTCTAAAAAGTTCTTTGTAAAAAAAAACCGTTTTCAAAATATCCCAAAGAGTTCGGAAAAAACCTGTCGTTTTATCATTATCTAGAGATTCTGAAGAAAAATGTGTATCGTTTGAAATTGGTTGTGAATCTCTCATTTAACTATAAGAGCTTTTTTTTGTTTAATTATTCGTATTCTGTCATGACACTAACAAAAAGTCAATCAATTCTTTTGAAAAATCTAGGGAAATTTCCAGAAGAAAACTTTGGATACAGAATTTTAGCTTCAGCTCAAAGTTTTTTAAAACGAAAATGTATGGAGTGAAAGTCGATGCCCTTTTTTGAATTATGGTGATAACGCTCGTTTGCGCAGTGGTAACTTCTCTGAATAAAAGTTTGTACTGCTGACTTTTACAAGGTATCTACAATAACTTAATCAACATATAAAAATTAGATCAAGGAAATTTTATTACATCGAGATATGCGCGTTTTAATCTTACGAAGTCATGTCGTTAATCAATGACTCCGATCATATAGATATATGTATTTATGAGTGTGTGTTGTACCGCAAACGATCTTTATTTTAGAGAATAAAACATATACTAAAAGTATACATCAAATACAAAAACGAGAAAGAAATAAAAAAAAAATATCAAGATGGTGAATATGGATAAACGTCACATCTTCGTATCAAACATTAAGATCGTACAAAATCTTTTTGATATTGTGGCCGTTGTGAAAAATCTAGATTTGATTGATAACGTGTCATTTTATTGTAATCGTGAGGTTTTAATACTGCTGGTGGCATTGAAACATTCTCAAGTAGTTTTGCTTTAAATACATAATCATCATCAAATGATAAATTTCGACATTTAACACAAATAACTTGATTATTAACTATATCTTCACAGTTAGATAATGGTGCTTTAATTTGCTCTCCAATAGATTGTATTTGTTCATCATCAGGCCATATACGTCCAGCCATACCTCCACTTAAATTTGTAGGTATTTCAAGCGGATATTTTCTTGTTACTTGATGTTCATTTTGAACATATAATTGTTTGAAATACTCATAACATGAATTGCTTGAATGAATATATAAACGATCATAACCACGTTTATTACGTTTCTTCTCTTCATCCGTTAATGTTGAATAAACATGTTCAAGTGTACGATGTAAACGTTTCTCATCAACAAATGGTAATAAAGCAACGCCTTGCCATTCATAACGTTTACCATTAAGATCAACACAAAAATTTAATGGATAAAAATCAATTATGGGAGATTTTTTTTCTATCATTAAAGATTGCCATTCAATAGGTAGAAGTTTTCGAGATTGTGATGGAAATACAGCCATTAATTGTTCTAATGGTTTAAATGGTTTAGTTTTTTTATCAAAAAATACTGGTATATCTTTAAGTTGTAGAAAATCAGATGCAAATGGTGCATAGTGATAAGGAAAATACCTAAAAAAAACGAAAGTAAATGACAATTCTAGTAAAGATTAATATTAAATACGTACCAATCCCATGCTGGTACACCTTGATAATAATATTGAAGAACCCAACATAAACCTCGAGCATAATTTTGTGCAACTTGTATACGAAATTTGTCCAAATTCTTTTTCTTAACCTTAAATTTATTTTTATAATATCTTTCACGCCAACCTTCTTCCCAAAGTCGAACCGTATCATTTGGATCATTATCTTCTTCTTCTTCTTCACCACAAACTGAATCTTGCCGATTGACTATTCGAGTATCAAGTGTATCTTCTTCCATTTCGTCATAACGACGTTTTCGACTTCGATTATTAGATGAAAAATTAATGCATTGCACTTGACGTGATTGCATATTAGTTTGAGTCGGATTACTAATATGTAAATTAGATTGTTGACCACTTATTTGTTGCTCTAGTTGAGAAGTTGACATCCAGATAGGTCTATAATAAAAAGATTAAAAAATTAATATAGTTTCTCGTCGATCTCTTGAAAATAAACATACTCATTTCGGTTTGTTGTCGATCTAAACCGTTTATTTGGTGGTTGATAATTATTTGAACGATTTCGTTCACGTTGTCGTTGTTGTTGATCATTTTCATGTCGTTTCATAAATATTTCATCTTCCATTTTACCAACACTTGTTAAAATAATTTCAACACATTCCATATTTGGTATACCATTTTCTGTTAAATAACCTTGAAATTTTGGTATATTTTCTTTATATATACGTATAAGATGATCAATAGCATTTTCACGTATTTCAAGTGATGGCAAATGTGGTAGAAAATCATTTCCAACAAAAAAACACATAAATACCCAATCATCAATAGCACGTTCAAGATTCCATTGAAATGGTAATTGATAATCAATTTTTAAATCTCGATAAAGATATTCACGCAATATAGAAAGTCGTACAAATATATATCGAGTTTCAACATAATTTATTTCTGATGTTAATTCATTACATTTGGCAAATTTTTCTTTCGAAATACCTTTACATTCTTTCATATCATGTCCTAATTGTCCACATATATCACATGGACGTGGTTTATTTTGTTTAAATTCTTCACGTATTATTGTAAAATACGGTTCATGTGTTGCTAAACCAAGCATAATTAAATCAGCATCAGCACCACAGAAAACATGATGGGTATTTGGATTATGATCTGGTTGTGCACGTTGTCGACGAATATAATCCATTATTTTATGTTCACCTTCACCAGGAACATTTGCATCTGATAGAATAACTTTTATTGAACGCCAAGCTGGATTTGTATTCATTCGATGTCTTATATAATAACGAAGATAATCAGCTAATTTTGACATAAATGGTGTACCTGGTGTAATACAATTTGAATCGAAATGTTCAGTTTTTTCTTGTTGATTTTTATCTTCGGGTACAAGACCACCATTCGAACGTATTTCATTTATAATTTTTTTCATTTGTTCACTTTTATCAATTGTATCTTTGGATGCTCGAAAACGTCTTGAACGTTGTTGATTCATTTTAGCTCGTGGTGCAACACCATCAATAGCCATATAAAGTAGTTTACGTGGACGAACAATCGAAAATAAACGATCAATACATTCAAATATTAATATCATCATTTCATCTTCGTTTTCTGGTGGTGGACGATCTTCAGGATGTGTACATGGATGAATTATTCCATTCATATCTAAATAAAGATTATCAAACTAAAAGAAAAAATTAATACATTTCAATTTTTTCTTTTTGTCTTATTAATATTTACTTCAATTCCATTCGGATTCGGACGTGTTTCATCTAATGGATGATAAACACTTTGAGCATCTTAACAAAATCAAAGAAGAATTTAAAGAAAAGATTATTCAAATAATTTACCTGTTGAAGAATTATCTTCAATACAATTAACAATAATGGATGGATATTTTTTTGTTAACCAACGAAAAAATGCTGGAACTCCCATATCGAAATATTGAATACAAAATATAATCTATAATAAACAATCAATAACAAATGTGAAAAAAATCGAAGAAGAGATAAGTAATTGTTTGTGTGAATGATACTAGAGAATAGAAAAGAAAAACATGTAGGCTTAACAAGTGACCAATAGTTATTTTTTAACTTGCAGAATAAAGTCACATACACAATAGAAAAAAAATGAAACGATTTTCTTTGTGTTTTAAATCAGTATTCTTCCTCACAATAACAGTAAATTCGCCAATGGTGAAGTTAGAGGGAAGGCAGCCACTAGAAATAATCATCCATTCCTTCCACACTATATTTATCGATTTTTCTCAGTAGAAAACGTTCAAAAATGAGTCGATATCGATACAACCTCAAGTTTAAGTTGAAAACATGTATTTTGACTATAACTTTTCTCATTCATCAAAATTCCAGATTAATCATTGTAACCTACTAATTAAAATTGATCATAGCCTCTATATTGTGGTGAAAATATAGGAATACTATGTATTTTCAAACAGTAGAATAGTTATATCAGTGTCAATTTACTTAAAAATGCTTTAGACATTCATATATATACATATGTCGGAATGAACTCTTCAATTTTAGAGGTAACTATGATCCATTTTCAAATTAGAAGGTCCTAGATTGTTTTTTTTTAATGTTTTAAGGAAAGCAAGAAAAAGCATTGACTATGTAAAAAAAAATGGTAAATTCAACAAGACACATGCAGAGTTTATTTGATACCCCTAATTCCTATTGGTATGAAGACAGCTCTCTAAAAAAGAGCAATTTAATCATTCAAGTTTTCCCTTCAATTATTGTATTCACAAATATTCAGAGTGATGCTTGCATATACATCACTAGATATTAAGGTACGATGAGATATAACCTTACTCTCTAGATTGTTGGTCTGTCTGAGTAAAAATACGATTAAGTTCTTCAAAACACCAATTTTTTTAGTTTCCAAATCGTGACCAACTCAGTTTTTCATCAATGAATTCATCAAATTTTGATTAAAACTCAGAATTTATGAAATTAAAAGATGCACATTTCTATCATGTTTTTAGGAAAGTTTACAAAAACACATTTAAAGATGTTCTGACTTGAGAATGAATCATAATTGACTCTAAAATTAAAAAGTCAACTCCTACATATATATACTTCATTATTCTATCTGGTTCGTTCGAACTATGGTTAGACTGATGGATTAAGCATAAAATTGCCTTGAAAGGGCATCGTTGGAATGTGTTTTAAATATGACACCCGTCTCATTATGTGATTCATTTTGAATTTGTTCCGTCTGCTTGGAACCTAAAAAAAGAAAGAAAATACCAGTACGATGATGATTATGAATTGATATTGTTGCGCGCCCTCTATTCTTAAATATAACTGCATTGGATTATATTCAATCCTACAAAAATAATGTATGTTTGTACATTCATTCATTTATCAGAGACAAAGGATAAAGATATTCTTGATAAATTAAGATGTCTATTTTTGTTTAATTGATCAAAGAGAAAAAACATCTTGTGCATATCATTCTCTGTTTCAAATAGACTTTATCTATGTTTCTAGTTTTGATTTTTTTCTTATGGGAAATACAGACGGAAGTAATAATGGACGAGAACATACGATGAATTTTGTAAATACTGCACCATTTAATATTCAAGTTCCATCATCACTGCGAGATCCAAGGAATACTACTTTTTCAATCGAGCAACTTGAACAATTGAAAACAGTTACTGACGCACGTAATATAGCTCTTGGATACTTACATGATTTTAACAAATTTGCATCAGTTTGGAATTCAAATAAAATTCATCCAGAAACACGACGTTTGATGCGAAAACTTGTACAAATACAAACAATCAATGCTGTATGCAATGGGTTCGAAAGAAAAAAGACTCGATTCATTGATATATATTTGTTTTGCTGTGACTTTCTTTATCTTTATTTAGTTTCTATCGACTACCTGATAGTACTCGAATAGAGTTAGACAACGATAGAATGGTACACGCTGCTCAAAATACAAAAATGTATAGTAATGATTATAAGTATGATGCAAATCTACAACGACGTACTTATGATCAACCAGCTAAGATATTTGTTGTTAATGGAGATTGTCTTGATACTGTCATACATTTCAAAGAAAAATATTCAGCTTGTAATCCAATTGTACTTAATATGGCTGCTGCTAATTGTCCTGGTGGTGGTTGGAGAAAAGGTTTTGTAATTATCTTTTCTTTGTTCATATAGTCTTATTTTTATTTTCTTAAGGTTGTGGAGCTCAAGAAGAAAATCTTCATCGTCGTACAAATCTTTTTCAATGTCTTGAAGATTCTTATCATCAATTAGAAGGAAAACGAAATTGGCATTATCCTATACCTGAAGTAAGGTTTAATAGTTTTATAATTTCTACGGTTAGGATTAAATTTTATTTGTAATAGTTTGGTGGTATCTATTCTCCTAATGTCAGTGTGTTTCGTGGTTCGGAATCTCACGGTTATCCATTTTTTCTTCATGATTCACAATATATATCATTTATTGCTTGTGCTGCTTATGCTCATCCGTATATATCAAAAAATAAAGATGGAGAAATGGAACTTCGTGATCAAGATGTAATACATAATACAATGAAAAAAATGAAAACTATTTTCAAAATTGCTCTTGAGAATGAGCATGATACTGTCGTCCTATCGGCATTCGGATGGTAAGTCTACAATGAGCATTAGAAATTGTCAAATCAAATTTCAAGCGTTACTAATGACAAAAAAGATCTAACAACTTTCTTGAATCTCTGAATAAACAGTTCATAGAAAAAATCCCGTCAGATTTGACGAACACTCTTAAATTAAAAAGTTACTAATATCATTTTATAGAGCAGCTCACGACGCGTCCAATATTGGATCGCTCACCTCATTCGTTTCGTCGCACTCAACGTGGACCACTTTAGTCATTTTTCTCGTAATTTCGATTTTAGGATGTTTCAATGTACATAATGGTGTGGTTCAAAACATGGTGATGCGAACGCACAAGTCTCCTATGAATTCCTCATCTTCCGGCTCTATAACTTTGAGTTTTATAGGTTTCTGAATTTGAGGGATCCTACGATATAACCGCTGTAGTCATGCTAAAAAAGGGCTATATTTCACTTGTTCGTGACATAATGGAACGTAGTTTTTCGTTACTCGTTATCTCACCAAGGAAATTTTTACCAAGTAACAAGCTGCATATGATGCTCTCTTAATTAACATTAATTAGAGTTGCGAAAATGGCGAAAAGAATTTTTTGGCCTTCAAATCTTTGGAGAGATGTACACCAATAAACTTATAACTATGCGCCTTATGTTCTTCCTATGTTTCTTGTGATTTTGAATGTTTAAACAGCCACATACAGTTATGGCACAATGCTCCATATGATGCGAAGCATATATCGTATCGTAATGAAAAATGATTTTATTGTCATTTTCGAAACTCTAATTTATGTTAATCAATAGAGCATCATATGCTGCTTTTTTGGTAAAAGTTTTTTTTAGTGAAATAGCAAATAATGGAAAACTGGAGTACCCCTATGATGCTAGTAAGCACAAAAGCGGCCTGTTTGAGCACTGATGCAACGATAATATCATGCAGCCCTTTCACTCAGAAATTGAAAGACAAAGATGATTGAGCTAGAAGATCCGCAATTTTTGGGAAAGTTGTACGTTGACACTATCATGTTTTTAGCCACAGCATCGTGTACACTGAAGCATCTTAAAATCGAAATTTCGAGAAAAATAACGAAGGTCATCTGTGTTATATACGAAGGAAACAATAACAGGATTTATCAAATAGACAGAATACAACATCAATTAAGTCTCTATAGCAATAACATGTAGAAAGAACATTTTGTAAGTGCCATAATATTCCATAGTATCCATCAACCAGTAGACGAAGTCGTATAACGTCAAAGCTTGTCAAAATATTCGGTTTTCTACATACCATGAGACGCATCGCGACCTACTCTACAAAATGATATATGTGGATTTTGAATTATAATGGTGATCGTCAAATCCGACAGAGTCCAGTACCTATGAATAAATCGAGCAATCTTATTGTTGATAGAAAATTTTGAAAAAAATCTTGTTAAAAGAAGAATTTTCGACTTGATTTTTACTTTCGAATGATTCAGATTGCCCGAACTTAAAGTTTCATAATAAATAATTTTTGTTATATATTTAGTGGTGCTTTTAGAAATCCTCCACGGCATATTGGTAAGATTTTCATTAATCTATACTTCGTAATTTTGATTGTTTTTCTTTATTTTCAATAACAGCAAAATTATTTCATAGAGTAATTTCCGAAGAATATTCTAATGCATTTAAATATATTATTTTTGCTATTATGGATGATCATAATTCTATGAAAGATCATAATACTAATGGTAATATTCGACCATTTGCTGATATTTTTAATGTATCAATCGTATCCTTGAATGACATTTAAAATAAGCATATGAAAATAATTTTTCGTTTTGAAATGGAATTATTTTTGTTTATTTTTATTTTTATTTTTATTTTTACTTTTACTTTTATTTTACTCTAGATATATATAATAATAATGTCAGCATTTGTTGAATTACTTCGTAAATCAAATCTTGATTATATTGTTGCACGAAAACCATTCAAAATCGGTTCACGTAGTGATGATGTTATATTTGCTTCATTTATTGATATGAAAACAAAAAAATTACAAGTAAAAGCTTATAAAAGAAAAAAAACAAAGGGAATGTTTTTTTTTCGTAGTTAGTAGCATGTTTAGATAAGCCAGAATCAGTTAGTGTATGGTCAACATCATTAGACGAACGTGCATTTCAATTAAATGCTCGACTTTTAGATATATCAGAACTTGGTGAAACAATGAATTTTCTTTGTGAACGTATAAATGAATCTGATTTTACACTTGCTAAAGCTGCATCAACAAATAGTGATGGTCAATATGAAGTTTCACAAGTCAATGTTACATTTACACATCCAAAAAATAAACAATCAATAACTCTTCAACTTTATGAGCATGTTGATGAAGGAGAAAAAGCTTCATTTTTAAGTAAAATTCTTTTACATGTTTATAAACGTAATGAACAATTAACATCTGAAGTTAAAACACAACAATTACGTATTAAAGAATTATCAACGAAAGCACAACGTGTACAACCACGATCAATTGGTGGTAATCGAAGTTTTGATGGAAGCCGATTAGTGGATTCAAATAATCAAAAAGGAAATACAAATAAATCATCAGGAAATATTCAAATGAGTTTAATTAATCCAACAATTAAACGACGTAAAGCACCAACTGGTGTTAATTATGATGATGAAGAAAGTGATTAAAGTTTTGTCAGAAAAAAAATGTTTTTTTTTTTAATATCTATGTAGATAAACATGAATATTCTTGTATATATATTTGTTAAATATCATTGTTTATAACGTGACGTATTTGTTTTTCTTTAAATGTCAAAAAAAAATTCAATATCAATAAAAATGTAGACATAAAAAATGAAACATTTTTTTAATTGGATAAATCCAATCACCATAGTTAAAGATTTTTCTGGCACACGATGTAAAGGTAGTGTTGAGGTATTTTGCACACCCAAAGCATAGATCGTACATCACTGACATGTCGTTATTATATATGAACTACATTGTTATTGAATTTTCTCCAGGATCAAATGGATAAAGAAATGCGCCCCAAAGTAGATAGAAAAAAAGCAATCTTTTCGTGGTTAGCAACAGCAGCTACATTATGTCTCTCATTTTAATTTGACAGGGATTGCGCTAACAGTTTTTTATTTTGATAGATCATTTATTTGAATGAATTATACGAATTACGATTTCTTATTGATTATTTTGAGATTTAACAAGTTAAAATTTTCACCACAAGCACGAAATGTACAGACTAAGACAAGAGTCTAACAGAAAAGGAATACAAGTTGCAATACAACTGAGATAGTGACTTTTTACGATGACCATCTTGCAGCATTCTACTCGGCTGGTCAAATCAAAATCTTAAGTTTTGATCTGAAACTTTGTTAACATCAATGCCTTAATCAGACTAGTTTGCATGTAAGATTTTGTAATTTTGGGATAAACTATCTCCGACATGGTAGTAAGATAGCATAAAGACATTTTCTCTATGAATATTACACTACCTATAGATATTTGAGTCTCAAACTTAACATAGAATTAGTTGATTAACGTCTTGATTCTAACAAAGTTTCAGATCGAATATCGAGATTTTGATTTTATCGGAAAAGTAAGATGCTGAGAAAAACTTATAGGAAAAAAATTAATATCTCAGCTGAATTACAACTTGTACACGTATTCTCTTAAACTTTTCTTAGCCTATAGAGACCATAGGTTTGGAAAAAAATTTGATCTTAAAAGTTTTTGCTCATGCGGATAGGTTCTCTAGTAAGAATTAATACATAGACTGGTAACTGTCATATGATTCGGTCAATCATTTTAGTATAGTTTTTTTTCAGATGAGTCAGATATATCGAGTAAATGAGATTTTCTATTATGATGATTTAAGGAAACATAAACCCATAGTTACTGTTCATGATTACTTCGATCATAGGTTAGATATGATCAGTTAATAGTTAACTCGAAATGATCAATAGAACAGACTTGATTCTTTTCAGATTATAATGAGTAAATCATCTGTACCCGGTACAAAACAAATTCAATATGATCGTCAACTTCGTTTGTGGGGTGATCATGGACAAAAAGCATTAGAATCTGGTCGAGTTTGTTTAATTGGTGCGAATGCATTAGGTGCAGAAATTCTTAAAGATCTTGTTTTGCCTGGTCTTGGTTCATTTACAATTATTGATCATGAATTAGTCACATTAGCTGATTGTGGTTCGAATTTTTTTGTCCATTCTTCAATGATTAATCAATCGCGTGCTCGAGTTACTTGTGATTTTTTAACCCAATTAAATCCTGATGTACATGGTATCTATATCGATAAACCATCTATTGATGATGTACTCAAACAAAATACATTTGATTTCAGTCAATTTAATGTTGTTATTACAGCTAATCTTTCAATAAATACATTAAATATTCTCGCTAATCATTTATGGATACTTAAAATACCTTTACTTGTTGCTCGTATTTATGGGTAAAATTGAATAAAAACATTTCCTTTTTATTTTTTGTTTCTTTTTCTTGTTTAAATAGTTTTATTGGTACAATTCGTCTTCAAGTATTTGAACATTATGTTATTGAAGCACATCCTGATGATACAATACCAGATCTTCGTCTTGATCGACCATTAAATGCATTTGTTAATTATTGTAATTCAATTGATTTTAATTCTTTAACACGTGAAGAACATTTACATTTACCATCACTTATTATTCTATTTAAAGCATTACAAATTTGGCAAAAACAACGTAATAGAAACGATTTACCAAATACACGTATAGAAAAAGATGAATTTAAAAAAATTCTTGATCAATTATCACATCATTCGGCATATGATATTCAAGATAAAGCGAACCATCTTGAAAATTTTGAAGAAGCTAAACGAACAGTACCATCACGTCTTGTTAATACAAACCTTTCATTAACAATAAAAGAATTATTTCAAGATCAATCTTGTTTAGAATTATCAAATCAAACAAATATATTTTGGTTTATTATTCATGCTATAAAATTATTTAGTGAAAATGAAGGACAAGGTTTATTACCTGTTCGTGGTGAAGTACCAGATATGATAACAAATACAAATTCATATATTAAACTTCTAAAAATTTATCAAGAACAAGCAAAAAAAGATTGTGAAATCGTTAATAATTACCTTTTTGATTTATTAAAAAAATATAATCGTTTATCAAATGAATATATTAATTCATATGATCTGGTTGAAATATATTGTAAGAATGCATCATTTTTAAGAGTGTTAAGAACAACTGCAATAAAAAATGAAAATGATTTAAGAGATGAAACAGAATCAAATCTTTCTTGGTAATTTGTTTATCATTTCTTCTTTGTTTTTTGTATTTTTATATTATTTGACGTTCTTGTTTAGGTATACTGGTTTACATCTATGTGATTTATTTTATGAAAAATTCCGTCGTTATCCCGGAGAATTTCTTTCTGATGAAAGACAATTTGAAATAGATTTAAATGATTTAAAACAAATAAGTAAAAAACAATTTAGTAAAGATTTTATGGATGATGATAAACAACAAATTCTTGAAGAACTATGTCGATATGGAGCATCAGAACTTCATTCAATTGCTGCTTTTATTGGTGGATGTTGTGCACAAGAAGCAGTTAAATTAATAACACATCAATATATTCCTATTGATAATACACTTATCTATAATGGTATTCAACAATCAATAAATGTACTTAAGCTTTAAATGCTAAGAAAAAAGAAAATAAATTGAAAAATATTCAACAAATTTTTATGATATTATTACTGCTTTAGTGGAAATGGAAACAAATTTTTTTATGATCAATAAAAATTTTTAGTGATAATAAATGTCAAACCGAGAATATTATTTAAAACTGATAGGAAGAAAAAAGCTAATATAAGGCTGTAGGCACGAGTGGTTGAATGAATGCGTGCGTAAATGGTTGACTATATGTCAAGGAAAAATTCACTCACTGACCTTCAAAGTAATCGAACTTAATATAATTTTTAAGAGTTTTTTTATGAAATTATTTAAAATCAGGCATTCTACTTATCGATAGCTCTTTCGAGTCAAGCAGATCTTTCGTTGTCAAAAAAAGAAACATCAACGTATAATATCCTTTCTATAATTCGATCCGACAAAAATCACCTGGTCTTGTCAAGCATCTATTTTTCGGAGAGAGTAATATTCCATCCTTCGAAAACCGCTTTCGATGATTGCTTCACTATACAATCCAATTAATTTGATTTTCAAGAATGGATTTTTTTGTTTTTATTTTAATTTTACGGAGAAAAAGCAAAGCAGAAATCAGTGTATTAGGATATAGTTTTTTGTTGATAATGATTGAAATATTAAAGCAATGTTTATTCATAATCTTTGAAATTTTATCACAGCTTGGCCATTTGAATCAGCTACGTAGAGATTAAGATTCGAGTCAAATGCAATATCTTCGGGACTGCTAAGGCCAGGTCCACTATAAGTATCTTTGACCGCAACCTTACCAATCGTTGAATTGACGCAGTACATCACCACACGTTTATTAGATTTGTCGGCAACATACAAGTTCCCATAAATATCATACTTCATACCTCTAGGTTTACTAAGCGTTGCAGGAGTATCATTGACTTGCGTAAGAGTTATTCTCGGTGTGGATGCATTGAAAGTCCACAACTAGACAGCATTTTTATCTTCAGAGCTTACGTAGGCTTCATTAGATGAGTAAAGTGAAAGTAAAAGTCCAAAGAATCCAGGAGTGGACGAAGTACCAATGACAATGGTACCGTTTGTTGCATTTGGACCAGAGACGAGCGAGTCAGCAAAAAAGTCGCACCGTCACCGCCCCGTCCCGCACCGCCGATAAAGTTCCGCACCGCCACCGTCCCGCCTGTTTAGCATTGAAACCGCCACCGCCCCGCCCCGCCCCGTCAAAAATATGTTTTAAAAAACTATTTATTGACAAATTTTTCATTAAATTCTCATAATGGCTATTTCATTTCATGAGATGAAGAGGCATATTTTAAATGCATAAACATCGTTCCGAAATAGAAAAAAATAAATATATGAAAATGAAAGCCAATTATAATACATTCACTCATTTTGTGGAACTCACGTATATTTTCGAATAAAATAGTGATTGTAAGTTTTAAGTTCGAGGTTTGGCGGCTCTCTCCCTTCCCCCACTCCATTACAGACACTCCACTCAGGGTTGCCAGATCTTCCGATACGGCAGGAAAAATTGCGATTTTTTAAAAGTTTCTCCAACGACTTTCCGACGTTCCGATTTTTCCGATTTTAACATATTTTACCGATCGCCTTCAGATTTCCTAATTTTTCTCCGGTTTTCGAAGTCTTATTTGGGAATTCAAGTTCTTAGGATATTCTAGAATAGTTTAACCATGACACGACACCACACATACATAGCGATCTATTTCACCATAGTTATCGGGTAGTGAAGCGTCATGAACTCAACAAACCACACTGCAGTGATTTGAAAGCATATCCTCCAATAAAACTATGATGTTTTACAGACAATTAAGATCCAGCTTTCTATCACGATGAACTAACTTTCTCTGTTCGTTTACTATAGTGTTAATTAAGAATATTTTCGTTTCTGAGCTTTTTTTGTTTCATCACAGATATCATAAAACTAATCATAAAAGTATGGGTACTAATTTAGCTGTTGCAGAATTGAAAATCGGAATGAGTTCTGTTTATACTTGTGGACATTTTTATGAATATCTGTTACCTCAACCTGATATTTTGAAGAGTATTCGAGCTAATAAAAAAGTATGAACAAAAACGAACATTATACAGAATAAGTCTTAGTTTTGTTTTGCATAAGTTTTGTGAAATGCATGTGTGTGTATGAATTTACAATACTGATTCTATTGTTTCGTCAAGTTGGTTATAGCATTTTTGATAAAAATAATGTGATCCTGTTCAAATTACTTATGTAGATGTCTTAATCATGAGTAAATTGTGTAATCGATATTTTCTTTCATTCTTTATGAAATATCATTTCCGATATTGCTTCGAAAAGATGAACAGAAGCAAGATAAAGGATATTGAAGCTATCGAAAATATATAGACTAGTTATTTAAGCATGGAAAAATACTTTCTGATTTTCTTCCGATTTCGAGAACAAAAATTCCGACTTTCCCAATTTTTAGAAAACTTTTTCTGATTTTTTAATTTTCGATCTGGTAACCCTGACCCCCACCATTACAGACCTCAGCAGCGCATAAAAGGCTCTAGTTTTTATATAATATATCAATGATTTCATACGTATTCGGAAAAAAGGTATTTTACAATTTAAAAATAAGGCATCAGGACAAAAAATTAAAAAAATATATGTGAGTTCCACATTTTAGCTCCTCTGGAGCTGCGCTAACAAGTCTTTTTTTACTGATTAGTTTTGTGAAAAGATTTTAAAATTTTAAAAAGATGTCTCTAAAGGTCTGAGTATATTTAAAAAATCAAGGTTATACAAAGGCGGGGAAACCGCGGAATTTCGTCATGCACCGTCACCGCCCCGCCCCGTCAAGTTTTAGCACCGCCCCGCCGGCGGGGCGGGACGGGGCGGTTTTACACCGCGGCTCGCTCATCTCTGATTTGGACCCCATTTCATGACTCGTTGGTTGCTTCTCTCAGCAATGTAAAGATTTAAATCGTTATCGAGGTCTAAGCCCAAGGGATCGTGGAGGTCGTCGAGTGCTGATGACTTAGAACCGATTTTTCCTGCCACAACTGTGCTGCTGTTGAAATTTGGTGAATATCTTACCACTCGGTTATTATTATGACCGGTTATATATAGAAATCCATTCTTGTCAAAAGTTATAGCCTCAGGATGATCATCAGCAGAGCTAGTGTCGACAATTGTGATGCCTACCGTCGCTCCTTGATTCCACTTTTGAATTCGATAATTGTGATGATCAGCAACATAGAGTGTGTCATTTGCATCGATGTAGATCCAAAGTGGATCGTGAAATTGGTTGGTAGTTGAACCATATGTACCAGTGCCAGCAATTCGTACACCTGTTTGATTCCAACGAAGATTTATACCTAAACAATCATATGTCATGTATGCAATCTTTGTAAAACAACATGGCCTACATGAATCATAAGCAGTTGTTGTCGAGGTCGTTGTTGCTGTGGTACTTGAAGCGGTCGATGTAGATGAGGCTGTTGAAGTCGATGTTGTTTCGGTGCTTGAAGAGGTGGATGTGGATGAGGTTGTTGAAGTCGATGTTGTTTTGGTGCTTGAAGAGGTGGATGTGGATGAGATTGTTGAAGTCGATGTTGTTTTAGTGCTTGTAGAGGTCGATGTTGTTGTAGTTCTGGTGGAGGTCGATGTAGATGAGCTCGTCGATGTAGATGAACTTGTCGAGGTCACTGTTATATTTATGAAAACAGTCAAAGTAGTGGATGGAGTTAGGACAGTCCATAAGTAGTGACAGCGACATTCTAATACCTTTTAGTAATCATTAGGAAACTTGCTATTGTGTATTGAAGGATAATAAAAACAATGATCAATCTTTATGTGATATATGATCATTCTTCAACTGATATCATAATAAGAAAGTTTCAACAAGAATGTTTGTTGTGATATATGATAATATGATCAGATTATATTTATTTTGATATGTATTCACGTCTTGATGGCTCTTTTGTTCTTTTGCTTTCTTTTTATTTCTCTTTTTTCTATCTTATTTAATATCTAGTCCCTTTTGCATATTAGACTGTGAATGTGACCATGAGTAAGAATATTGATTAGAATCAAGTTAACAGACATTCATAACCTAATATGTAAAAATGGCTAGACACATTAAAAAAGATGGAAATTAGAAGAAAGAAAAGAAACCACAAGTAAAAAAACAAAAAGATCATTAAGAAGAGAATATACATCGAAAATACATATCATTAATCTCATTTTATCATCACATATCATAAAAAACTGCTCTTATAGAAATTTTTTTATTCTGATATCAGTTGCATAATAATCAAATATTACAGAAAGATTAAGCATTGTTTTCCTTATTGTTGAGTGTAAAAAGAAAGTTTCATAAAGGTTACTAAAATGTATTAAGGCCACCCCCCCCCTCAAAAATCGATCTCAGCCCAGGTATGTTCAAATGGGCTGAAATTTGGAGCATATGTTGGGGCTGATGTGAGGAGGCTGTGATAAAATTTTCAGCTCGATACCCTGATGTTTGACTGAGATATTCACCAAACAAGGGTCAAAAATAGGTCATTTTGGTACAAGGATTTCTCAGCCCGGACCCGTCTAACCTATTTAAATTTTTTTTTTGTTAGAAAGAGCATATCAGGATGCAGAGCACTACAGAGTCCTTTTTTTGAGATTCTTAATTTTTTAGCGGAGAAAGGAGATCACAAGTCCAATGACTCAAAAAACGCCCCAAAAATGGGTGTCCAGTCACATAAGTGTCTTTATATATAATAAAAAACAAAGCTTAATTAAAAAAAGGACTCTGTAGTGACCTGCATCTCGACGCGCTCTTTCAAACAAAAAAAAAATTTAAATATGTTGGACGGACCCGGACTAAGAAATCCTTGTACCAAAATCCAAAAATCATAAATCGAGAAAAAACGAAAAACATTTCTGGATATTTCAAAAAACCGCTGGTTTTTCAAAAACTGGTTCTCTGAAATTCTGGAATATTTCGGGAAAAAATGGAGGTTTTAGGAAAAATTTTTATTGATTTTGAAAGAGCAGACGACGGGCTATTTTCCTATGTATTTATCTCAATTTTGACAGTTCTCACGAAAATTGACTTTTTTTGAGGGGGGGGGTGGCCTTAACGTGTCGCCATCACTACATTTAGGCTGTAGTAAGTATTTGTGGCGCATGTTATCGGTGTAGCTGCTTTGTAACATTGAAATTTAAACAAACGATGTCTCACTAATATATTACTATACGCACTTGTTGATCATGCATTGCCCATCATAATAAGTAGAAAAGCAACAAAGTAGATTGATAATCATTTCCTAACGAAAGCTATAATGTGGTTATGCATCGGACAAACGAGAGTCTCCTGCATTCGAGACTACTAATTCCATGACACTACTTTCACTGTATTTTCTCATAATAATATCGCGAAGTAAATCTCTTCTCAACGTGCTTTCGTATTTAGTCATACGAAGCAAAAATCCAAAAACTCAGAATAAACCTTAGTCTGAAACAAGTAATGCATCGGTTTATTGGGACTCACTGGACTCAGTTCCAAAACGGTATATTAGTTAGGGTTGAAAAGCTATCTTGTTGGTGTAAGTAAGTGAGTGCGATTGTAGGGTGCGGGTATAGGTGTGGGTGTGGGTGTGGCCGTGGGGTGTGAGTGGGTTTGGGATTTGGGTGTGGGTATGGGTGTCAGTGTGGGTCTGTGGATGTGAGTGTCGGTGCAGGTGCGAGTGTGGGTTTTGTCTTTATGCACACCCAAAAATGTTTTGACGCAATATTTTCAACAAGTTTCAATTTTTTGACTTCAAATTTTTGTTGGCAAAGTGACCCGGACCTCTTGAAAGACGCAGTCTTAACTATCACAGAAACCAGTGCGATCTAGCATGCTCAAATTGGAGTGTGAGTATAAACTGGAATAGAGAAGACTGTGTATAATGGTATCAATGTTTGTTACCTCGTCACTGACACACACACGCACACCCATGCCAGTTTTGCAGGAGCAAGTGCCTCGGGAATATCTGTCATGAAATCTTCTAGATATGATTATCATACTGAGCACACCACATCAACTCCTGTTTTATGTTACTTAGCTAAAAAAGTTCATGCCTGTGTGTGAGCTTTTATTTCTCACAGGCTGAATGAAACAGCTTACTCTCTTGAATGTGACGATAATTCGACGCGATCTTTCATCTGAGAGTTAAAGACCAGAAACGAACTCTTCTTTTCGAACAACGATGATCGCTTTTATTGTAGGCGGTCTCGAAAAGGCGATCGAAAGCAGCTTTTCTTTGGTAAAAGAAATTAATTTTTATGGACTCATAATATGACACATGTCTTTGCCACTGAGTATTATTACTCATTTCAAGGCAGTTTTTTACTAAATTCACGAGTTTTTCCAACTCAAAAAGAGAAATTCTGACTTTTTTAAAATTTGAACTTATGAGATATAATATGAAAAACTTCGATGCCTTGATAGGTTTCTACAGACCTCACAGTACACCAATGAACTTTGCGAAGCATCCAATATATGTATTAAGCTTTTCTAATTTCCTTCGAAAGTTCCAAACAGATAGCTCAAATTGAAAGAGCTTAACTTGTATTGCTGAACACTATATCGGACTTTATTCTTGTTTAGAATTGAATGGTGTTTCTGTAGAACTCTATCATTATTATGTCTTTGAAAAGTATCTCAGACTTTTTCTACACTTCTGCATGCCTTGAAACTACCAAGATCGAAAAGATATACTTATGACCCTCAAGTTTTTCAGATTGAACGTCTCTGAAGATACTGCTGGTTACATTTCAACTTATGGAGGGCAATTTCTTGGAGTTTATGAATGGATGCTGGTTGGTTAAAAGCTAAAAGTATTGTTTAATTAGATTTTTGTGAAATTTCTAGCCTTGTCTTCAGAAACGTTAAATACCCCAAAATCTGAGGGTGTGGGGTGGTGGGTGAGTATATCTTCTGTTGACACCCATATCCACACCCATACCCACACTCTGGGATGCATAACTCGCATATCAGCGTTAAAAGCATTACTATTAGGACATTAACATAATGAATTTGTGGTGCTATATGCCGTTAGGTTTACGATTTCGAGTGAATTTTCTGTAATGAGACAAATACCTCAGTTCCAATTCAAAAATTTACAGAATTCAGGATATTGAGATAAATCTGTAGGGATAGTTATTATCTTGATATTTCCTCTTCTCTGCTATCTGGAAATCCACATACACAAAGACCAAAACACTCCTATGGTTCATGGACACTTCAATGCTTCAAAGGAAATACCTTCATGCTGGCTCACGAGCATCATTTGCATCAAAATAATTCCAGCAGAAATTGAGCACAAGTCAATTCAGTTGAATAGATCGCCAAAGAATAATTTTGAGAGAAAAAAATTCAATCAGAACATGCTTGTGGATGTTGTTGTTATTTCTATGGATGTCGATGTCAACCACAATGTGAGCACAACAGCCAGAGCAATTTCGCCAAGCAACATTCCGACAACACAGCATTTTATGCATGGACACCAGGCATAAGCTCCTCGGATTTTGCGTCTTCGTCTTACGTAAACAAACAGATGAACACATTTTATACATAAAACTAATAGCTGAAGATAGTCAACGCTTTCTTTACTTGCTTTCGTTCTCTTCTTCTTTTTCTTCTTTCCAAAACTCTATCTTGCTCGAAGAATTGGTTTTATATGGTCTCGATGTTACATCAGATGACCAAACAGACCATTGGGTAACTTTCATTGTCATTGATGATAATTATGTTCGGTTCTGTAGGTGATGTAGATGTTGCTTGTCTGAGCAATGAGGCTTTGTTTTGATTGTAATGCAGCTCGACGATGAGATTCCTTTGATTAAAAGAAAGCTTTCAGCTTTTTTTGTAATAAAATGCTGTTCTGAATTCTTTAATTAAAGCGTGCTCTGGAACAAAAGAAGAGAAATCCATCAAAGATTTGTTTGTTAGAAAATATTGATTGCATATTGTGGGTCTTGTTCTTTTTTCTTCATTGCCAAGTACTTCTACATCATAGAAAAGTAGAAATAAATGTACACAATGAATGCCAAGTAGTCGTCATTCGCTTGGCCTATCAACATATGGCTACTCTTGATTGACAAAAGTTTGGATTACATTTTTTCAATAAATCAATCACATCATTCGAGGTGTTGCTCAAAAAATTTTATCTTTTCAACCAGCTGGATGCGCACAGAGTAATACACGCTTGCTTTGATTGATAACTTGATATTATTTTATGCCTTTCACCAAAAAGCATCGTTAGTAGGGCGTCCACGTAGGACTTATAACTTTTAATGAGTGCTCCAGAATAAATGGTGTTTCAGTATTTTGAGAATCTTTTACTCAGTTTTGATGGTGAAATATGAAAATTAGCATAAAACAATTGCCTGTCAAGTTCTCTATCAGATCTATATCAAGCCTTTTCTGTAAAAAGCAAAATAGAAAAATAAAACTAAGAATAGTCAGGAAGTATAATGGTTCAGTTGTCTAAGCTATTTTGTTAATGATACTAAGAATCTTTTACTTGAATTGAAAATACTACAAGCAACGTCAAGGATATTTTTAAGTACTTCAAAGTCTCTTTTTTATCACAGCTTAGCTCAAAGTGTGTTGTAGTTCAAACTCGGGATCGAAAATATCGGACTTTCGATGATTTCGCTCAAAATGGAAAAAACCTAGAACTTTTGCTAGTTGTATTGATGAAGAAAAATTGTTAAGCCAAGTTTAGTCTCTAGATGTCTTACGATACTCATTTTATTTTTAAATAAAACAAGAAGCCAAAAAACATGCTATTTTGATTCGCTTATGCCTATTTTACATATAGCTCTTGAACTGAAGATTGAAACAATAGAATTTTCAAGAGCTTGAGAAAGAATATTACTAGAATACGCAACAAAAAACAAGCACAACAACTTGGAAATTATAAGTGAACGAGTTATTTATATGCTCAATCAAGAGTAAAAATCTTCAAATACGATCGTTCAGTTGAGAAACTTGTTTATTGTATGCACTGTGAATGCTCTTGTTTTCCTACTGTTACGATGATTGTGACAAGCAGTGTTCGATAGAGATCTTTTAATAAATTTGATAAACTATCATTTGAATTTCAACTAAACTTTCTCCATTTATAACTAAGCAAGACATACATAAAATACTTAGATCACTATTTATTTTGAGATATCATTACGTGATCGATCTAGAAAGTATATCCGGAAAAACTTTTTATTAGGATGGCATAGCTACGCCTGTAATTGTAAAATAGATAAATGAATTCAATGAATTCTTATGCATACCATTTCTTCAAGAAAACCTTCAACGAAGAACTTGATTGAATTTTGAGTAGAAAGTGCAATCATCTAATGCTCATACAAAAGTACAGCATCATCAGAAATAATTATTTAGCAAAATTTTGAATGGAGCTCGTGGCAGGTGTAGATGTGTGAAAAGAAAATACTCACAACACATCCACATCCATACGTCGTTAAAACAAATTCAAATTGATCTTCATAGGAACAGTAGCGATTATAAATTTAATTTAAGCAAAAATAGTGAAACGTCAATCACCTGCATCTTCTGGATGATCAATCATCAATAATCCATAATCAATATTAAGTTTTATGTGTCGAACAAATCTTTAATAAAACCAAAATCTTAAAAACTCACATCAACGACACAAAATATTCTGCTACATTTCTTTTATCTACTAATTAACGATGTACATCTGGTATCAGTTTACCATTTGACAAAAATTCGTGAAATATCTACCTTTAATTGATACGCTTCCACCAGATAGCGAGTTTTTATTGTTCTGAAAGAAATATCAAAATTCATTCTCGATCTTTACTTCGATAGTGGTAGCTACATATAGAATTCACGTCTCGATCACTGCTGTTCAACGTCTTTTTCTTCAACTGGTAATTTCATTTGCGATTAACAAACCAACTCAGATGCTGCAAAGAAAATAAGTTACTATTTTTGAATAAAACCCTATTGACATTAAAAGCACTCGGCAGTCAACAATTGGTGCAGGTGGAACAACAAAGAAAATTAATTCAAGTGGGAGTGCTTTTTTCATCGTCAACATCAAACAATGTTGATGTCGACAACAAGGAAGAACAATTATTTTCTTCACCGTCAATAGTAACGAAAAAACTCGATTATTTGACGATAATCAGTTTATTGATGATGAAATCTTCAATAAACATAGTGAGAGCATCAATCATATTCATAAACAAGAATAAAATTGAAAGATTTAATTTTGTTTGTAGCAAAACATGTGATATATCTGAACGTAACGATAGCATTTTATTGAAGTGTCCGTTATGTTTTTCATTCTTTTTCTCAACGTTGTTTTGTTTTTTGTATTTGCAATTGTTTCTTCTTTTTAATTATAGAATAAAAGAAAGAACCCATAAAGGGTGAAACAGAAGAAAGAAAGTATTATGCCTTGGCTCAAACTCTTCTCTAATCAGATTAGGAGCTTAATGCAAATAGAGCAACGCCCATACCCACCCACACCCTTTTTGTTCGTCTGTACCGAATTGATCAACTGAAATTCTTGGCTTAACTGAGAAAAATCGGTGCATTTAATACATCAATTGACATCTACATCAGAGATGTTGTTGACTATTTTTTACTAGGTCCGTTCGAGACCAAACCAGGAAGAAATGCCCAACTAAAACTAATTTATCATTTTTAATATATACTACCCTAAGCTCATGTCGATACTTTTGGGCTTCGAAAACAACCGCATTTCACTGGAACTGTCGAAAGAGATGGAGACAAAAATCATTTAATCGGCAGGAAAACACTGAAAATCGATGGAACATGCAAGGAGTTTTTGACTGGAAAGTCTATGGATCTTTCTGCTGTTTTACGGGCGTTTCTTGCCAGAAAGAACGGAAAATTGATTGGAAATCGCCAGAAACAAACCGGAGATTTTTCGCCCGGAATATTGCTTCCATGTTCCATCGGTTTCTGGTGTATTCTGACAGGAACCAGCTCGTACTTTTTGAACTATGACTGTGTATATAATGGTACGGCGGGTGTGGGTGTGCGTGGGGGTATGGATGTGATTTTGTGCATATAGCTCTAGATGTAGGATGGTGATGAGTGTGGAGTTGCATTTCGCTAAGCGTGAGAGAAGAGAGCAGCGTTACAAAACCTAGAACCTCACATATTCACCACCGCTCACATCCAAAATCGATTTTTGATTTCGGAATCTAGACATAGGGTTTTCTACTAGTGGTAGAAACGAAAGTGCCTTCGAGTTAATGTGATGAACTTTAGGAAAGAAGTGCCCATAAAATAGTGAGACTCGTTATATTTGGCTCTTTTCCCACAACGAATTGTCCTATTCCCGCACGGAACATACGTTTATATAGGAAAGATAGACAATAAACATGAGTCAAGCGTATCGATCACACGAGTATGGAACGATCACATGATCACTAGAAAGAAAGAGATAGATGCAGATGATGCATTTCGTTACAGTTACAGAATGGACTCTCTCACCATATTGTGCACGGGTGATATGTATTATTAGCTTCAAAACCACTCAACATACATTTTCGAGGACTTTCTTTCAGATGCACTATGTCTCTACTTCGGAGCAAAAAAACTGTCGGGTCTCTGACAATCCCAGTTTTGAAGCAAAAATCTCTAGAAGTGTCCCGATTGTGTTGATGAGTATTAGAGGATTCCGTGTACCTTCTCGATGTTCGTTTATTTCGAGATATCAACGCGAGAACAACAACAGAACAGAACAGAACAGAACCACGTAAGCGACAAGAGAGAGAGCATATATAGAAGGGATAAGCGTCAAAGAATGAATAAACAGATGCCGATGAGTCAGGAATAAACATATGACTGTAACAATGAGCATTGCTGTATAGATGTGCCCTTCGTTATCCAGAAGGAAGCTGGTATGAAGAATAAGTTGAAGTATAATACATTTGCTTAAAGAATGAGAGCGCACACACTGTCAGGTCATTTTGAAAATGTCTTGAATTTTTTGAGTCTAACTTTAGAATATCGACTCAATTCGATCATGGATATATATTCTCTAAGAAATGTTACACACATATAATGTTCAAGCTGACATTTCATCGAGTAGTGGAATTTCAGCTGCAGAATTCTGCACCCGTTACTAACTTATGTTGACGTCCAAACTTAATCCCATTTCTAAAACATTTATAGACTGCCTAAACTGATTTTACTGTGAAACTGTATTGCTTCAATAGGTCTTCTAACTGTTTAAACTCAGCCCTCAAATTATTTCATCGATTAGACAACACATTTGCCTGGCAACTAGTTTTCATCAAAGACTCATTTTTGATGGGTCTTTCTAATCGAAGAAAACGGTACACATAGCTGCCATTTTTAGAGAATACATCTTTCTGCTCATTCTAGCTTCAGTATAAATTTTGAACAACTATCGTATACTAGTCACTAGTTATAAAGTACCAAAGTTACCTTAAACGTGAAGATTTGCGCACATTGGATAAATCACAAAAAATTAAGGGCTCAATGTTTCACATCAAAAAAAACTGATTCAGAATAGAAC